CTGAACCTACAAAACAAAAACAAAAATCAATTTTGTAAGTCAAGGCCAGCAGTCTCAAACTAGATTAGGCATCAGAATTGTTACAGGGCAGGGAGAGGGCACCCCAGAACCCCAAAACCTGCATGCTCTAAATAGGTTCTGCCATCCTCCACATCAAGACAAAACATACCCCAGTGTGTAAGACCTTTAATGGAAGAAACTTTAATACAATTAGTTTGGAATAGTGACAAGTGAGTGAATATAGTTTCCAAGCCAAGCACCCGAAGTTACCCGTTCCCTTGTGGACAAATGCCCAGCCAAGCAGGGTTGGCCCAAAGTGAACCACTGAGGCCTGAAAGCCTGCCATGCGTCTCGGGCACCTCCTGGTGGGGGCCCATAGGGAAGGGGCAGAAAGTGTCCAGCACATCTGAAACAGAAGGAACAAAATCAAAATTAAGATAAAAGCTGTCAGGCCTCCCTCGTGGTCTAGGGGTTAAGTCTCACCACTATGATCTCGACTGCCTGCATTTGATCCCCAACCAGGGAGCTAACCCACATGATGCAGCAGACCTCTCCTGTCTCGCCCACTGCTCCCCTCAGCAGTGGATTTCAGTAAATCCGCTTGTTCTGCTCCCCGCTCTGTCTCTGGTGAATCCTCTCACCCCCGCACCTCTGCCTACACCTAGTTCTTCTACACACACAAATTAAAATAATAGTAATAAAAAAAGATAAAAAGCTGCCATTGTTAACCTCCCCACGGGTCTCTCACCCACATCTGTTTCAACCAATACAAGACTTAAGAAGCCAGTGCAGCTTCTTCACGTGTGTCTCTCTGCTCCATATGCCTCCTCCAGGTCTCCTTTGGCTCTCCATCCTGCTTCCTTCCTTTTCCAATCTCCTCTCCAGTTTTTCTCCTCCCTGCTCAGCTCTACTCTCCTTTGGGTGGGGCAGGGAATGTGGAAACTCCCCATTCCCTGGGGATCACACTGTTAACAGAATCACTTTGATTGTTAAAATGCAAATTCCCAGGCCTGCTCAGCACATCCAGAGTCCATGTGTCTGGGATGAGGACCAAAATCCTGATCTTTCAGAGGCACTCCAAGTGGTCAATGAGAACTCCTCTTTTAGGTACTGACAGCTCCCTCTCTTTTCTTTCTGTATGATTAGCCAAAGGAAGGAGACAGTGATGATTCACCATAGATATCTTTGTGGGTCACAAATGGTTGGGTTCATCTGAATGGGGAAAAATGAATACAACACAGCTTGGCCAGCTTGAGATTTTGGTAATAAGTGTTGTTTCTTTAAAATGGTCTATTTAAAGTGCGCCCTCTGGGTTAGAGGCTGATCAGGGCCTCCTAGGCAGCCTCGTAGGCCCAGGAAATTCCTCCAACTATAGCTTCATTAGTTAAGAATGGAAAGAGAGGAGTGGGGCTTTTTGGCAAATTTGAGTTCTTAGAATTCAGATGCTTTTTATTTTTTTTTAAAGATTTATTTATGCATACAAGAGCTGGGGTACAGGCCAGAGATGTGAGGGGTGAGAGGATTCACCAGAGACAGAGTGGGGAACAGAACAGGCAGATTAACCAAAATACACTGCTGAGGGGAGCAGTGGGTGAGACAGGAGAGGTCTGTGCCATGTGGGTCACCTCCCTGGCCAGGGATCGAACTCATGCTGCAGTGGCTGAGGATAGCTTCATAGTGCTGCATCTTAATCCCTTCCACCATCAGGGAGGCCCCCTAAAAGGGAATATTTCTTTTTTTTAAAGATTTATTTATTTTATTTTTATACAAGAGCTGGGGTACAGGCCAGAGGCGAGGGAGGGTGAGAGGATTCACCAGAGGCAGAGCAGGGAGCAGAACAGGCAGACAACAGAAGTACACTGCTGAGGGGAACAGCGGGCGGGGCAGGAGAGGTCTGCCACACCATGTGGGATTCTCGCCGGCCAGCATCGAGCCTGCACTGCTGAGGCTGCGGACAGCTTCACAGCACTTCACAGCTTCAACCCGCTGCGCCACCGGGGAGGCCCTGGAAGGGAATATTTCTTAACTGCCTTTCCAAGGCCTCAGTGATGCTGGCAGTCATCAGTGAAATAAATGATTTGGGGCCTCCCTGGTGGCACAGTTAAAGACAGCACTATCAAGCTGCAGCATGAGTTCGATCCCTGGCTGAGTTCGATCCCTGGTGGGCCAGGGAGCTGACCCATATGGCACAAAAGACCTCTCCTGTCTCACCTGCTGCTCCCCTCAGCAGTGTATTTCAGTAGATCTGCCTGTTCTGCTCCCCACTCTCTCTGGTGAATCCTCTCACACCCCCCACACACCTCTGGCTTACACCCCATTTCTTGTATGCATAAATAAATAAATCTTTAACAATAAATAAATAAATACATGATTTGATTTATTAGTTTTGAGAACAGAAGTGTTGACTTGGACGCAGTTTTCTAATTTCCTCATTTATCCAACAGTCATTTACAGAGAGGCTGCTTTGTGTTTAGTGGACATTAGATAACTCTACAAATAAAACCATAGGTGGATGAGCAGCTGGAACTCTGTAAGGGGACTATCTGAATGGGAAAAATGAATAAAAACAGTTTAATAGACCTGAGATCTTCATAGTGTATAGAAAACAGAAGATAGATTCCTTAAAGCAATAGCTTTGTTCTCTTTCTGTAGTCTCTTTTAAGTGGGCCCTCTGACCCAGCGTTATCAACCTTGGATTGGGAGCTGAGGAAATGGTGGTTCGGTGGTTGTTTTTTAAAGGATTTTTTAAGAAATGTAGTTACTAAGCAACTGTCATGACCTGCTGCTAAGTTGGAGTTCAGCAGGCAAGTCACTTCCAAAGAAGGAAATATGTAAACAAGTTGCTAGAGGGGAAAAATGCCTTAAGGATAGATTGGGTATATATATTTTTCTGGCTTCAACACCTAGTTCTGCCTTTTATCTTCCCCAAGAAAGGGCTTCCTGGTTAGAAATATCTTTGTCTCACCCATTTCCCCCCTTAGCTGCTGTGTGCAGAGGCGGACCTGAAAGGACCCTACTGGAGGGCCAGGGTGGAGGACTGAGCCCTGGGGTAGAGCCCATGCCCAGCAGCTCTCCTGATACACGGCCTTGCTACTGCTGGCTTGGCAGCCTGGGGCTTCTGTGACACACTGGTCACCACCCTCCACCTTTAGATTAGGCTGCCTCATGGTAATGACGTGTTACCTCCTAACCCACGAACAGGGACATTGTCCCTCTGCTCTCCCACTTCCCTCTGACCCCAACCTTAACTGGTAAGTCAGCAACTTAACTGCTTCCTGCAGGATTTCAGGGGGACTGGAGTAGGTAATGAGGACAAATCACCGCCACAGCAGTGCGTGATAAATGAAAGAGCATATGAATTTTACCAGTTGACTTCACTGGTACCAGAGTGAACAAAAATAAACTGAGAAGAGGATGATTTGTGTTAGAAGTCCATCCCCTCCCCATTAGGCTTTTTAGCATTTCCTTTATACTCAGGTGAAGGTCAGGTTGCTTTGCAGAGGGAAGGGGGCGGGGAGTGTCAGGTATTGGAACAGGTGTTTTGTTTTCCGCCTGTAGAGTTGTACATACTAGAAGCTGATTCTTCATGCCAGCCCTCTGTGGTACATTAAAATGCTTTTGTGGAAATGTTTTTCCCTGGAGATGTGTTTGTTCTTTTAAAGCAGTTCCCCAACCTTCAACCCCTAGCATAAACTTTGACTTCCTTTAAAATCAGCGTGTCTTAGTGAAGCATGTCTATTTGCTGCCATTTCCACAGCCCACGCCTTAGATAAACCCCATTTTCTGTGGCAGTTCTAGACCTGAAAATTGTTGTGTGGTTGTGTCTCTGTTAAATGTAATACTGTGTTTTAATTGTTCCAGGAGAGTGTCACAGCAAATCAGCCCTGTAAATCGCCTTTCATAATAATCGTATTGCTAGTTAATTTTTTTCTAAGTTGGGGTTTCTTTAATTGGGCATGCTTTCATGGTAGATTCAGGCTGCTGTGATAGTGTTGATGGGCTACAAAGCTGAGGATGGACTTAGGACCTCACTGATGAGGTGATTTTGGATGAGGGAGATATCAGGTTTGTGTGAATTTGTTTTAATATTTGTTACTGAATCCCAAAGAAACTGTTACAAGGAAAACAACTTGGGAAAACTGTGATCTCATCTGATTGAGGTTGGTTTCGTTGGTCTTTACCTTTGTTCTGGGTTTCAAACTCTCCCTCTCCCCTCAAACAAAAAGTCATCTAGAAACAAATTGTCTGCCTTGCTAACAATGATATAATGGCCTCTGTTTCTTTCCAGCCCCTCCACTCAGTGTCTCAGGGCCATCTGTTCTCTGCAGTCTACTTTTTGGGAAAGTCTCTTTTCCCATCTGCTCTCATTGGGTCTTGGTGCCTGCTCCAAAGATTTATGAGGCTGCCCTGGAACCTATTTCCAGTTGTTCTTTTTTTTTCTTTTCTTTTTTTTTAAGATTTATTTATTTATTTATACAAGCAGTGGGTACAGTCAGAAGCGCGGGAGGGTGAGAGAATTCACCGGAGCCAGAGCAGGTTGCAGAACAGGCAGAAGGACCAAGGTACACTGCTGAGGGGAGCAGTGGGCGCTGCAGGAGAGGTCTGTGCACCATGTGGGACCCTCACCAGTGGCCGGGGATCGAACCGGCTGTGGGCAGCTTCGCAGCCCAGTGCTCAACCGCTGAGCCACCGGGGAGGCCCTCCAGTTGTTATTTTTTAAGGATCGGTTAGATCTCAAGGCTGATAGAAGCTTTTCCCATTTAATATATCCCCACGTCCCTCCTTTTTTCAAGTATAGTCTTTCCTTTTCTTAGGGCGTGGAGACAAGCCTGTTTTTCTGTGCTCCGAGGCAGGACTTTGCTTATCAAAGCAAAGATTGACTGGGCTGGCTCTGCTTTGAAGCCAGGTGTCCTCCTGGCTCTTTGGCCACTGGCACGCAGTCTCTGTGTGGCTCCTTGGTTCATTCTTTCCCTGCCCTTTCCCCTGTCTCCCTGACACAGAGTACAGTCGCTTTGAGTCGAAGATACATGATCTGCGAGAACAAATGATGAACAGCAGCATGAGCTCTGGGTCTGGGTCCCTCCGAACGAGTGAGAAGAGGTCCTTGTATGTCAGGTAAGTCGCACTTCAGAGCACTAGGCCTTGTGCTGCAGGAGGGGGAACTCAATGCCAGCCCAACCCTTCTTGTGTAACCAGTGGGGTAGGGAGTGTGTACTCCCTGTGCTGAAACAACATTTCTCTCTGTATACTCAGGTTGGGTACTTTAAGGCCAGCATCTCCTCCCTTTTGTGAACTGGCTTCTTGCTTTTCACTCATGAATGACTCAGTATGGGGAAATTTCAGCTTGCGCTAATTGTCAAAGGCCGTTGGGTGATTGTTGCTACTCAGGATTCAAAAAGCACTCCGATGTTCAGAGTGCTTTGCTTGCAATCTGTGATTTCAGGGGGTAACTTGGCATCCCCTTTCCACATATGCATAATAGACATAATCAGGATTTGTCTCGAGCATATCAACTATCACTGTGTTCTGGTACAGGGTCTTTTAAGAGACCAAAGAACTGACAGGTTGCTGCATTCTGGTTGTTTTCTTTTTTTTTTTTTTTTTTTTTTTTTTAATTGTATTTCCTCACTCCCCACCGCACTGGGCTGTTGTATCTCAGTCATGGGGCAGGATGGTGTACATTCCCCAGAAAGGGTGGGGGGAGGGGACAGATATAGACTGCTGAGTGTATTACTGCCTTGAGCTATTCAAAGATAGTGTCCAAGGTTGAGCTTCTGACCCTTGAGGCACATTATGGTACTTTGTCAGGTCAAAGTATAAACCTCTTGGGGAATTGTATTGCTAAATGAATAGCATGGACTCCTCATAGAATTAGGGGTAGCTTTCTTTTCCCTGCCTGGGCTTCTTGGCAAAGCTCCAACAGTCTGGTACAAATACATTGTGGTTCTCAAGGTTAAAATCCTCAGAGAAAGAGGTGGTGGGATTGCTTTCCTGAGCAGAGGCAGCCCCTTGGCCCCTCGTGTGTTTAATGCTCGGGTGTGGGGTTGTAGCAAACTCTGGGGTTGAATTTCTTTCTTGCGGCCTCTGATACCTGTTGGGGGAATGGGGAGGAGAGGCTGCTTTCTCTCACTGCCTGGCAACTGGAGGACTGCCCTGTCCTTAGGATTTGAGATGACTAATATTGAAAGTGAACCCATGTAAAGGCTAATTGCAAGTCTCCTAGTGCTTGATTTTCTTCCTCAGTTGGTAGTCACTGAGCCTACTGCAGGGTTTAGAGCCAAGGGCGCCCAGCTTGGAGAAGCCAGCACTGTTCTTTTCTAAGGTGAACTCTGAGTGCCACTGCTTGTGTGCAGAGAGCCTCTTTCTTTGGATTTGCTTGAGCTTACCTCCCGCTGTGAAGGGAGGAATGTGACAAGAAGCCTGGACTAGTCACTGGTGATATTTGCAGTCTCCTATTTGTGTCACTAGGCCCTTGCCCTGGATCTGCAGTCCAGACGCTGGGGCACTGATCGGGGAACCCACAATGTGCTGTAGTCCTCCACAAAAGGGCACTACTACGTGACTTGGTCATGATTGTTCTGTTCCGGGCTTCCAGCCCCTGCAGATGTGGCACTCCATTGTGCGTGGGAAGCTGCTCTTTAGGCAAGACGGTTTCTTGGGAGAGCTTTATTTTTAGATTTCCCCTCTCTGCCTGGCCTGTGCTAGATAGAGCTCTCCCTGCCCAGCCACTGGAGTGGAGCATTAGCTCTGGCCGGAAGACCTGGAACGCCCTTCTCAGGTTCCAGCAAGGAATGACTAGGGATTGCTTTGCCTCCCACTTGAGAGAGGGGTGGAGCTGAGCTGTTTCTAGTGAATCAGTTCATGCTCTGCCCATAACCTTATCTCCGTATTTAGACTACATCTGTATCATCTGAGGGAAGTAAATGTGCTTTTGAATAGTGGACCTTGGTGATCATTACACTTAATTGCAAGTAGGGATTTATGGCTAAAGCAATGAGCTAAGGTCGTCCTTCACTGAGCTGACCCCTTTGCTGGAGTCTGGCCTTATGGGATGCCTTTTGTGCCCATTTTTGGCCTTTTACTTTGCACTTGAGTCCTTTCCTTCAGCATGTAAGCGTATTCAAGTTTCTTCCATTCTTAAAAGGGAACAACTGCCCTCCCTACCAATTGCCCCATAAATTATTGCCCTGTTTCTCTTCCTCTCACCGCTTTTGCTGAATTGTATGCCAGGAGTCCCTAGTTCCTCAGGATGTTAATAAGTATTGTGTGAAAAATCAGTAGTTCAGTAGATTGAACAAATGCAGGATCACAGGGAAATAGAGGTTTTTTCACTATAATAAATTTCCAGGAGGGACTGTACTAGGCATTGTTTTCCAAAAATATAAGAGCATGGGAGCCTTTTTTGGAGAAATTTGTCCTAGCTCCAGGTTAGGAAATGTAGGAGTCCTCTGTTGTATTTGGTGCTGCTGCTTCTTCAGATTACCTCTCAGTAGGAAAGAAAGTGTGCATGTGCTTTTTAGAGTGGTGATGTGGTTCCAAGCAACTCTGGGAGGCTCCTAAGGAGCAGAAGTTCAGCTGCCTGTCAGGGATCAGCAGTGACCTCTTGTCAAATGCAACAACTGTTCCCCTGATTCCCCGCCATTGGTCTTCACTGCATTTGTTTACATGAATTACCTCCTTTTTTTCTTAACAGGCTCTTCCTTTCTAGCTATTTCTAAATACCTTTCATTAGCTTTAACCCATAAGTGACAGTGTCACTTATTTGCACACTTCAAATCCTGTCATTGTGTAAATGACATTCCTGATCTCTTCACTGGAGTCCAGACCTGAGATCAACTGCTTACTAGACAGTGCATGAGGCAGTCCTCCTGGGGCAGCAGACAATCGTTCCAAAGGGACCCCTCTGCCACTTTCCTCATCTAAGTTAATTGTATCACCCTTTCATGTGGAAAAGGGGTTAGGGTTGTTCTGTCACCCAAGGCAGAGCTCAGCTCAGTGTTAAGGAAGAAAGAGCTAATGATTAAAAATGCCTGTAAAAAGGAATGGACTGCTTCTAGAGAGAGTAAATATGATCTTTGCTCACTGGTGGTGTTATAGGGAGGACTAGGTCGCCTTTTGCCTGGGGACTGCAGAGGGGGTTGAAACTGAAGCAACAGTCTGGGCATCATGATCTATTCAGAAGCTTTCAGTAGCTCCCCAGTGTCTTTCAGATTAAGGGGAACAGACATTTAGGGAATACTTACTGTGTATCAAGACCTGTTATTCTCTCTAAATAGCTTTAAAAATCCTTTTGAAGCTATGAAGTAGACATTACTATTCTCATTTTGCAGATGAGAAAACAGACTCTAGCTTATAGCTAAGAAGTTCCAAAACTGGATTTTGAACCTGGCTGTTCTGACTATAAAGCTTGGTTCTTTCAACATTTCCCAGACTTGCTGGTAGTGTGACAGTGAACACACGTGCTCCTCTACTGTGGATGTGGACATTTTTAACAAGCAATTGAAACATTCAGGAATGACCTCTTGTGTGTCACAATAGACATTGCTGTTTCCTTTGAACAACTGAACATTATACATACTTTATCTCCTACTACTTGGAAAGCAGTAAAGCACAGGGCTAAGAATTTGGGTGTGGTTTTGGGGGTACATTCTAGGAAGGAACAGAGGCGGTTCCTGCCCTCCAGCAGCTTACCATCCCATCTTTATAAAAATCCTGAGCAGCAAGTGGTTAAAGAGAAAGAACCCCTTTAGTGGAAATTTCACCACTGATTCTTTTCCCTGTTGTTTCCTGACATTGATTCTCTCTTCCCTTCCCCCGAGTCTCCATCCTTCTTTTGTGTACATAGGGTTGCAAAGCTGTTTTGAAGCAAATAAGACCATCTTCCAGCTATATGGAGGGTACAGCAGGTGAAATCTGAGTGAGCCACACATGTATTAAACCACTGGGGATATGAGATTGGTGGAGCCAGGAGCAGGGGGGAAGAGGGAAAGATGAAACTTGGTTTTAAAGTTATGAGTGATAATGGGACGTCCTTCCTCACCCTTTACTGTACTAGAATCATCTCAAAATGAGCAGGATGGGATGAGCAGGATGAGCAGAGCCCCTCTTTCTGCCCAGCTCAGGGCCTTTGCTCTGCTGGGGAATTTGCCCTGTAAACTGGAAAAGTCTCTCTTGAGTCTCTTGCTCTGGGTTAGGGTAGAATTTCAGGGCTCTCCAAGTTCTATTCTTATACCTTATTTTATCTATGTATTGAATGAATGAAGACTTGGTCCTCCAAAGGTGCCAAGAGACTATATAGTACATTTGTGGAAAATAGCTTTTGCAAGCTTGTTCAGGCTAGCCTGCTCGCATTTCTTTGCAGCCAGAGGACAGCAGCATTTTGGAAGTCCCTGGCCTCCTGGCTGGCCATCTGCCACTCTAGTCTTCTCACTCTAGGAAGGAAATTCTGCTTGGGGAATCTGTAGACTTGATTCAAGAAACATTGTCAGAAATATTGACTTGGTCATCAGAGAAGGTTGGAGAATGCTCCTTCCTGTCAACAGGCAGACGTTAATTGTGCCACTAGCATATGCTTAGCCCAGGGTGGTGCTTGGGGGAGCTCGACTTTGCTTGTTCATCACTGAGTTCAGTAGTGGATTAAGGTGCCAGTCAGGTCTATTGGCAGAATTGCAGAATTTGCAGGTGATGATAATATGGAGGTTAAAAAGCTACAACAATTTATGTGAGTATTCAGGGCTACCAGAAGGTGGAGCAGAGTTTCCTGTATCAGCAGTTCTGGAACTGCCTCTTCTTAGATCATGTACCCAAAACACTAGGCCTGGATCTGTGCTCATAATCCCCTAAACTGATGCAGTCATCCACAGGTGTTGTGAACCCCAAACATCCACATGTTGTGGAGTGATTGTTCTTTGAATACTGCTGCCACTTCATAATTGCCTTCTCAGGTCTGAGACTTTGTGACAGAGTAAGAATAGCTGCCCACTTCCCTGTTCTCTTTCACATCTTCAAGGTTTGCCAGGGTAGCCTGACTTGCTGCCGGCTGTACTTGTTCCTCTTGTGATGACCCATCTTGTGTCTACTTGAGCATTCAACTTTGGGCTTCTAGGCTGCTCTTA